TTTTACGGGTGATCGCTGCATCAAGCGATTAGTACCAAAAGATGCACCGAAATTTTCTCTATCGATTGATGTATCTTTTAGAATGCAGCGAGCACCCGTAAAAACCGAAAAATCGTCCTGAATGGGTCGCCAAAGCGTCAATTTCGGCCATTTTGTTGAAGAATTCCTTGTGGGGATAGACTAGAGTAGGCGAGATAGTGGGGGAAAGTGAGAGAGTGGCCCCCGGGGGCCGATTTGGCTGCAGGCCTGTTCGGCTGCCGCTGTGGTGCATTGGTAGTGGCGTGGGATCCTTGCGCCGGGGCGCCTCTAGATCAATCCCAGCCTACCTTTAGAAAGCGAATTTCTTTTTGCTCTTTTTGCAATTATCCTTACTCCGGCTATAGAATCATAACCATGTCACTCCCTGAAATATTTGCCAAATTTGGTCTTCCGGCGACCCATTCAGGACAATTTTTCGGTTTTTACGGGTGCTCGCTGCATTCTAAAAGATACATCAATCGATAGAGAAAATTTCGGTGCATCTTTTGGTACTAATCGCTTGATGCAGCGATCACCCGTAAAACTACTAATTCCGAAAAAAACTGTTTTTAGTACGCAAGATACCTATGTTCCGGCCACTTTCTGGTTTCGCAATGTATTAGAAAAATGTTCCCCGACCCAAATTAGGGATTGTCACAAATTTTCGGCAAATTCTGTTCAGTAGTTTTCGATATATTTTTTGGGTGTTGGCAACTTTGAGGCCCATTTTAACGTCAAAATTAAACTTTTAAAACTTTCAAAACCATCCCACTCTACTAATTCGACCATGCTCTTTCAGATGACGTCATAAAAAATGGGTCGAAAAAAACTGTGCCAAGCTAGTATGGGGCCTGTTCGAGTGACTGGCGGACGGCCTTTTAATAGCAAATCGACGCTACCTGCTCCCATTTGCAGATGAGATGGACGGAGTGGGAATGGTCCTGCGGGTCCTCGTAGCACTGACACCGCGCCGGACAGTCGAACCATGCCACGGATGGGAAGCCGGCATTCGCGATCGCGATCAACCCGAAGAAGACGCACAAACAGGCAATCGCCTCCTGTATTGCCCCGTAGCTGCGCCGATGCCCACCACACATAGCATCGCCCGGGAACCGGGTGTGGCGGGGAGGAGTCTGGAAATTGTTGTAGAACGGAAAGTCTGATTATAGAATCAGAAGAATAAAGTAGAAAATAGTAGCGTAATACTAGTATTTTTATAATGTTTTTAGGCAAATTTAACTGCATTTTGAGTTAAAAACAATTTTACAACGTTAGAAAATTTTTTTAGGTGATTTTTCTCAAAAATCCGCATTTTTTTATCAAAAAAATTCGATATTTTTTGTATTTTGCAATCAAAAAATGTAAGGTTTTTACTTTTAGGAATAGTAAAAAAATATTCTTAAAACCAATTGATCGATTTATATAGAAAAAAATTGAAAACCTTTGTAAAATTTCCCTCCCCCGATAATGGGAAAGAACCGATCATCGCTTATTTTAGCATGTAAATAAACAATATATAACTTCTACTTTAATTGAAATAATAAAAATAGATATTTCCTAGATGTACCGTCTTCTCGGAAATTTTATAAAGTTTCTAGTAAGGTGGAGCCGACGTCCAGACAGAATTCACTCCTCCCAAATTCGCTCGAATCTCGCGTAGCGTGGCTAATGCTCTCCGCTAGCTAGCCCCCGTATGCGCACCGTTGTTGCAAATTACCGCCCTACAAAAGCGCGCACAAAATTATAGCGGTACTCCCCCCGCGAGTTACTTACGCATCGAAGCACACAGGGATTTCGATAGCGCACTGAATTAAAAAGTAAGAACTAGGGTGCTGGTTCGTTAGCGGGGGAGGGAATCGGATAGCGCGTTTATTCTACCAGACTTCATGATATTTTCGCCATTATTACTAGGTTTTTAACGAAAATCGATAGAGCATGAAAAAGTGAACTACGAGTTGGAGCTACAGCTCCATATCATTTAATTTAAATAGTGATAGAAAAAATAAGGTTTTCCTGTCCCGCAATCTTTTAACACTATTCGATAAAGCAGCCAAAAATACTCCCAGAGCCTTATTTCCAGCTAAAATCCTGTAGTTTAAAATGGTGGGAGCACTGTAACCATATATACCCTCCGTCCCCCCCCCCGCTACTGAACCAGGATCAAAAACACTGCTCACCTCTAGCTCGAAAGCAAAACTAAAACGACCAAGGCTTTCTGGGGCCCATGGTCAGTCTGCTGACAATTTTCCGGGCCATAATGCCGAATTTTGCCGGGGTTGAGGGCCGATTTCCGACGAGGGCCAGGGCCGCCAGACGGCATACCCCCGAAAAAGCGGCTCGATTCGCGTCTTTGAATTTTTGGCAAAACTAAAGGGACGCCGGGCACGCGAGAGCTGGTCATGGACCCCGGGTGATTAGCCGGGGTGGAACGGCGAGAGGAGCAAAAGAAGAAAAAATAGAAGAAGCTCTGTAGGTCCTAGGAAAGAAATAGAGACAAAAATACGAAAGCGGAGGGCTTTTGAAAGGCAGTGACAGTGTTATAGTAAGCTCAAAAGCTAACAAATTGGCTTCGGCGGCGAAATAAGAACGTCGTAAGAAGCCAGATGTACTTATGATTAGACAACGCGACACGCCAATGTACGCAGCAACCCAGAGATCGTTTTCAATTCCTGTTTTCCGGTTTTTTTAGAGTCTAAAACCCCTAAAAAACCGATTATAGTTTTTAACACAGCATATGCAACTATGCCTAAGCCTATGCCCAAACCTAAGCTAAGCCTAAGCCTCCGCCTAAGCTTGACCCTGAGCTTAAAATAAAGCCTAAGCCCAAGCCTAAGCTACTCCCAAACCCAAGCTAAGCCAGAGCCTAAGCCCAATCCTAAACCTAAGCCTAAGCCTAAGCATATAAAACTAGACAAAATATAACCCTCAAAAATTTAAAACAGCCTCAAAATAGCCACCAAACCCTCTTGTAAATATCAGTGCTTCCGGTTTTGAGGGGGGAGCGCGAGTTAGGCTGGCCGACACCCACTCCAGGGCCCGGCTTCTCGATAAAAACTCGTCAATCGAGCATCGTTAGGAGTGGCGGCGCGGAAAGACGGGGGTCTGTCTGCCGAGTTGTGGATAGGCGCATTGCGTTGGGACCCTGGATTCCTAAAGGGGAGGTCTGCTGTGGGTGGGTGTGTCCCCAGGGGAGATGGTCCCCTCCCCATCCAAGTCGCGCCGCGGGATTTATTATGAAAAATGAGGGCCGATGTCAGGGAGGGGGTGGCCCTGGCCGGGGTGGGACACGCACAATCGGGTCCCCCATCTGGGCCTCTATTTAGGTCCCTCCTTTCGGCCGAGGAATATCGAACATTTGGCGAGAAGTTGAGTGTTGGAAAGGGTCAACGCGGATGAGGATTCTAGACGTTCGAAATTCCAAAGGGTTCTGGTGCGTTAGCGGGGGAATTTAGTTTTTTGGTTGTCAGGATTTTCGCGTTTTCCCTCTAAATTTTACGAGGTTTTGGTTCGTTAGCGCGGGGGGCAGTTTATTGTCCTAAATTTTTCAAGATTTCGCGATAGAGCATACAAAGAGCTTGAATTATAGCTCAAAATTGCCCCCCTAACGAACCAGAACCTTCCAAGCTCTACGCGGCTTGTAGGTGGATCTTGGTCTTTTAGAGGCGCTAGAAAGTCCAAAAACGCCATTTTTTTCCATTAGCTCTCGAAAGCTACGTGCGGCACCAAATAAAAATTTCACGAATTTCACTCCAGTGCTGTCCAGTGAAGCTGCCTTGTTCAAATGAAAGGCGTGATTTGGCGCAACGCGTAGCTGTCTAGACCTAGTTAACGATAGACATTGAATTTGGCAATTTCTTGCGGTTTCCGCTTTTGTACAGTTGCACTTTCTTATTAGGACCTTCTTAAAAATCTATGCTTTTGCTTTCAGAGAATTTCCATTCCTAAAAAACCTGCGCTCGTTTGCATCGAGGAAAACTACATGTGAATTTTTCCAAGTCCCCAGGCAAGCTAGCAGCGATGGTTCTTGATGGTTCTTGTTTTTCTGTTGATGTATGCTAGTAGCAAACCATTAACGTTTTTGCCCACCGCACAAAGCAATAGCAAAACCTGCACGTAGTAGCCAGGGGAAACCGGAAACAACACAGCTGAAAGTAGAGCACAACACGGCAGATTCCAGCCCACTCATCCGCACCCCAATTGCCTTTTCTCTACGTGGAGAAAGGGGGAATAATTGGGGGTTGCTAATGGAACGGGGCTATGCGAGGAAGTAAATCCCAGTCCCGACGTAGAGCTATTTTGGGGGAAGCCAAAGAAAAAACTGTATGCAAATTTAGAAGCTACGGAACTGTACGCTGGTCCCTTGAAGTGGCCGATGGATTTTGTTGTTTATTTGTTATTTAATTACCTATGAATTTTGAATGTCTGCGGCAAGCGGAAAAATTCCTTCCCATAACGTAATCTAGTACGCTCGCTTTCCCGAAATTCAGGTAATTTTGCACGGTTTACCTGGCGGTACTGGACTTTTAGCGGGGGTGGCGGCGGGGGCAAACTAATTTATGTTTTTCCGCGTATTTTTATGGTGCCTTTAGTAGTTTTTGACGCTAGAAGCTATTAAAAAACATTTTGCAAGGTTTTTGGAAGTGCGAAAATTGACTTTTTTGGTCATTTTTTCACTTATTTTTGACCAAGACGCGAAAAACTTGGAAAATTTTGTATGATTATTTAATGAAATTTTTGTATATCTAAAAACGGTAGAAAATACTATAGGGAAAATCTAGAGTTATCCATAGCCTACAAAACCTGCTAGTTCTAACTTTCACGGTCCTTTAAAAGGCCAAATTGTGGTTGTGTGTACTCTGTAAAGTATCCAGTGCATTTTCATCATTAAACCCATTGCAAAATTCTTGTATTCCAGTGCACCCCCATGGGGGCGCTCTGTACAGAAAGCGTTGATGTTCCGCAACGAAACGGGCGGGCGCTTAACGGCGCGTTCCGTCCTCGAAGAAGACTCCGCCGTCGATGGCGCAGTACTTGGGGCAGATACCCTTCTCTCCGGCTTGTCCGGCTTGTCCAGGCTGGCCAGGGGCTCCGGGGTTTCCGTCCTGTCCGGGCTGTCCATCGGGTCCGGGGGGTCCCTTGGGTCCGGGCTGGCCGGGGGCACCGTCTTGTCCAGGCTGGCCAGGTGGGCCGGGGGGTCCTTGGGGTCCGGACTCTCCAGGCTGTCCAGGCTCTCCGGGTACGAGCGGCTCGCTGACGGCGGGGGCTCCAGGCTCTCCAGGGGCTCCGGGGGCTCCGGGGTTTCCGGGAGGTCCTAGAAAAAGGTAGGGTATGATTGGGTACTTTTTACGTTCCGAGAACCTGTAAAAAGTCTACAAAACAAACGTACCAGGGGGTCCCTTGGGTCCAGGCTCTCCGGGGGCGGCATCGTTTCCGGCTGTCCAGGCTGGCCAGGGGCTCCAGCATCTCCGGGGGCTCCAGGGGGTCCAGGAGGGCCGGGGGGTCCCTGTGGGCAAGGCTTGCATGGGGGAGGGGTGACCGGCTCGCAAGGCTGCTGTGGCGGGCGTCCGGGGTTTCCGGGGAGTCCAGGGGCTCCGGGCTGCAAAAGTGGCGGTAGGATTGAGAAATTTCAGCTTAAGCTTGAGCCACCTGAGCTCGTCGTGGCACAAAAACCCACCTTTCCGGGGCGTCCGGGCTTTCCGGGGGTTCCGGCGGGTCCGGCGGGACCAGGCAGGCAGCACGAGTCGCACGAGCCTCCCGACGAGGCCGATCCTCCGACGGCGGCGTCACCGTATCCGGCCTGACGGGCCGTGCGGTTTCCGGTGGGCAGGTTCTTCAGGTGGTTGACCTGGAAATAGATGGTGTAAATTAAGTATAAGATGAAAAGTTAAACCTTTTAAACCGGAATTCAAGACCACTGAACCCCTTGAACCTGTCGTCAAGGTGTAAAATCCCATAACAAGCCCGAAAGCTCACCTCGCTCCAGATGTCCTTGGCGGACCCCTTGCAGAAGGTGATCTCGTTCTGCATGGAGCGCTTGACGTGGTGCACATAGTTGTACACCATCGGCAGCGTGACGCACACCGACAGCACGGCGACGACGGAGAAGGTGACGGCCGAGTAGGCCACGAAGCGGTACGCCTGCAAAATGGAGGATAAGTAAAATAAGCAATTAAATAAAGTTTTTTATTATTTTTTAAATTTTATATGTTAAAAATCGATTAACACAAGCTAAAATTAAATTGGGAAATTTTAGATAAAATTTTCTCGCATGTCTATAAATTTAAACTTTTTGCCTCAAATCCGGGTAAACTAATTTGTGCTTTTACTTCTAAACCTGTGTTTTCTTCATTTCTATTAAAAAGTATATTTCTTAATGCTTTTTCGCAGTTTTTGATTTCTAGAACGTTACAAAATTTTTCATCATTTTTGAAAATTCGTAAATTTTACTTTTTTTTGGTCATGCATTTTCGACTCAAAATCAAAAATTTTCGACAATTTTACAAGTTTTTATAAGCTTTTTAATCTCTAAA